TTGCTATGTACTGAATTAACTCTTCTGCAATTTTGGAAAAAACCTCTACTATACAGAGTTAAGGAATACCAGATAGAATTGCAGAAAAAATGCTCTTTTCTTAGCACTTCTTTTTTTGAAGCGGTAAAGTAAAAGTTAAAGTGAAGTAGTTTAATTCCCCTTTTATCAGAAAACTTTTCTATAGATTAATACCGTAACATCAAAAGCCACTACATTAAATACAATATCGTGATATAATGTTCAATTATCTTGTAATTGCAATGACATACTGTTTTTATTGAAAATTTTTTTAAATGTTGAGTATAAAAAACGTATTTTAAATAATTTAATTATAAATTTATTAGTTAACGCAATAAATTTAATTGTTTAAATTCAATAAAATACATATATACTGTTTTTTTTATCGTAAAACGCTTTTTTAATAAACCGATTCGTTATATACGTATTAGATTGATTTCGTTTAATTATAATTATTCAATAATATTAAATAAAAATGTAGTAATAACTTTGGAATGCAGGATTTTATTACTTAAATTCTTTATGTAGACATATATAATATAAACATACTTATTATACATAAATTTCGTAGCGCATGAGTCTGTACATTATCGCAGCAACTCGCCTTAGCATGAAAATATTGTATTATTTCATAAAATGCTATAAAGCAAGATACTATAAATAAGGAGATTAAAGAACCAGAAAGAAAATGTCTATGGGCAAATCAATTTTGAGTAACTACCTGTACTTATATAAAAGTGATTAAAACAACACCTTCCCGCATTTGCTTGCAACACCCCTAATCCACATGCCATTCCACACAATTTCACCGCAATTTAAAGACAAAAGATGCCAAGACCTTAAAGATACAATTGATGCCAGCAAACAATAAATCAATCCTTTACAAATAAATAAGTCGTAGATATGCATAAATTTTATAGTGTATATCTAATTTGAGTTTATGGCAAGCAAGCACTGAGCGTAAACGAGTATTTGCAATTGTTGCTTTATTAAACCCTAAATGGGAAAAAGAAGATGAACGTCGTCCATGGTACATGTCGATGGTACAACGTTCTCTGTGAGTGTTGCCAATTTGCAATAACATTACGATTCAACCAATCTACATACAACGAAATCCAAATTTTTTATGCCAAAAATCTGCTGAAGTTCACACAATTTGGTCATTTTTATAATTAAGTTTAATTAATTCGACCCAAATAAATGACGATTAAATTCGTTGCTTGTAGCATTACGGACTCTACACAAATTGTTATAAATAATGCACGAAACCTTAAACCTTATTTCGACTACAGGGAAGATTATCATTAATTATACACATTACAGTTGAAATGTATCGATTTTATATTTAAGAAGTTTTTATGGTTTTTTTTCGATTTTTTGATAAACGAATAAATTATTTAAAGCAAGCGTTAAGTACGTTTCCACTGACTTCGTTAGACATGTTAACTTACTTGAGGTTGAAGTAATTTAAGCAAACTCAAGTAAGTTAACTGGTCTAACGAAGCCAATGGAAATATATTATTACTTATTTTTAGTCTTTATTTATTTCCATATTAAATCAGTCTTATTTCACACATATCTAGATTAAGGTTTGCATAAATGCAACAAAGATACTTACAGTTAAGTCCTTCAAAAATGACCTATTGTGTCTTATTATTTATTATTTTTATATGTATTCAAAAGCTGGGAATTTAAGTGGGCTTTACATTTAACCCTACCTAGCCCACCTATTTAAGTAACGGTTTAAAAAACAATTATTAAACACCTATATAACACATCAGTCAATAATACGGGTGACTAACTAAGAAAAACAAATTTTTTCTGCCAAAAATCGATTTCACTCATCATCAATTCTTCAAGAGCAATACAATCATTCCAACGCTTCTCTTACTTCTCGATGCCGTGCTTGTAGAAGGATTTGTCTTGTACCTCAAAATAGGCTTCAGTTGCAGCAATTCCTTCTTCATTTGAGATGAATTTCTTACCGGCGAGCATTTTTTTAAGATCAGCGAATAGCCAGTAGTCGCTGGGGGCCAGATCTGGACTATACGGTGGATGAGGAAGCAATTCGAAATTGTTTTGAATTCATTGTTTTGAAAATAACAAAAGTAGCTTCACTTAAACAGCTGTCACTTTTTCCTGACTAATCAAAATGTCATGAAATTTTACACATAATCTTTTGAAGGTTGGTACTTCATAAAAGTCATATAGATTTGACAATGGTAGCGCCATCTGTGTGTCAGTCGTACGACTTATTGACTGATGTGTATTATTTGAATTCAGATCACTTTAATCTTTTAGTTCTGCAGATAATACTAAATTACCAACAAGTATTGGCTTATTGAGAGTTCTGTGTTAGGTCATAATTATTTTTTAATCGGACTTTTTTTTATAATTTTCTTATTTCTTTTTTTTGTTTTTATTTATTTTACTATTATTTTATTTTTCGAAGAATAAGGCTGGTTAGACCTTTTACTAATATAATAAATTCCTTTAGACTGAAACGAAATGATAGACCTGCCGTTCTGTTTCCTAAAGAGATCTCTTTCCTAAGAGAGATTCAATTTATGTGCCGTGATATCTGGTAAATAAGCCCTGACTATTTATTCAGAGGTCCTTAAAATAATTTACAATTTATTTTATAATTCATTGTAGTATTTACATATAAAATAATTTATATTGTAATGTTATTAAATTATTAAGATTGTATAATGTATGGTTAGGCTTTAAATAAAACCGATTCAATAAAGACATTGTAAAATAAAAGAAAAAAAAATAATTATTTAGTTTTATTATATTTTATATTAAATTAGTTTTTAAGGTCCGTTTTGATAATAAAACCTAGTTTTATTAGTTTTATTATATTTTATATTAAATTAGTTTTTAGGTTTTTATCGAACAGTATTAAAATTGCAACAACAAAACTTTTTTTTATTATTTTTAATTAATTGAATTTATGACAGACCATACAGCTGTATTTATTTATTTTATTTTATATTTTTAACGTTCGTTTTGACGAAAAAACTAGATTAATTATATAAACTATTGTTTTTAACAAAGATGTTTTTATGGAACAGTAATAAAATTGCAACAACAAAAATTTTTTTATTATTTTTAATTAATTGAATTTTTGGCAGACTATGCAGCTGTATGTATGTATTTTATTTAATTTTATTTTATTTTTATTTAATTTAATTTATTTTATTTTATTTTATTTTATTTTATTTTATTTTATTTTATTTTATTTTATTTTATCTTAATTGAATTTATTTCATAATATTGTATGAAAATTATACCTAAAAATTGTAGCTGCAATATTTTTATATTTCTCATTAAATATTATCAAATTTTATTTCTTGAAGCTTTGATTGGATTGTAAAGTGACACCTTTCAATTTTATTTACTATTTGTAAATATATAATATATATATATAAGGTAATCTTTCCAAGAAAAAAAAAATTTTTCCTCAAAAAAGACAGAATATTGTTTCCAAAAAATTAACTATAGTAGTTTAAGTACTTTTTCCTACTATATTTTATTAGAAACTTATTTTATAATGTTGGAATATAATAAGAAAGCATACCTTTTTTATTACATTAAGTGACATATGAAAATGCAATATATTTTATTGTGTATGTTATATTATAAAAATAGATAAATATACATTATTTATTTACTTATTATTTATTAAAAAATCTTAAATTTTTGTGATAACCATTAAGTTATGACTTAACAACAGAAGAACAAGACAAATGGACCACTGTACAATTTTTAAGTATCCTTTTTTCGGTAATTATTTTGTCATTCTCACATACACTTTTCACAGTTATATATACCTTTTATTGTTTTTTTATAGTCTTTAACGTACTTTTAAAAAATATTAATAAATACAAAATTTCGATAAGTTATGGACATGTTTTTTTTTTATGGTTTACTAGTTTTTCGTATCAATAGTCATATGGCACAGCTGTAAAACTTATAAAAACAAAGCAGTAAAACTTGAAATTGTCATCTGTTTGCCATTTTACAAATAATCTTTGAGAAATAAAAATTTCTTACAAATTGTACACTTTTTGTCTCAATATTTCCGTTTAATACCTAAAATAATTACAAATATTACAGCAGCGCTACTATAAAGCGGATATCCCATAGAGTGCAAGTCGTCAGACAAGTCCAAGAAAATTTCTTAAGATGATGCATGCATGCATGCAGCATCGGTCATGTAGGATGGATGCTATTTGCCAATTGAATGAGCACAAACAAGATACAAGATATAAGATACAGACAAGTTATTTTTTCTCACATTAATAAACGAGGCATTTTGTGTAAATTTATTAATAGTTAGGAATTTTAAAAACAATTATGTAGCGAACAAAAACTAAAACAAAAATTTGCATATCTTTCAAATCCAGTGGAACATCGGGAAAATTTGACCATTTCTCACTTTTGCTACAAGCATTTTTAAGTGATAATTACCAACAATAGTTTCAATAACTGCTTTTACCTCACTTATTCAAGCATAAGTGTAAGGGTTAAGAGCGGAAAAACGATTATGTCTAGACTTTAGATACTTTATTGTGGTCTTACAAGAAATTAGCGCATTCGAAAAGTTTCAATATTAAGTACTTTGAGAAAAAAATTGTACGATACTTTTTTTATATCCCTATTTACATAATCGTAAATATCTATTCCGAACACCATTCTACTGCATACTTATTATGCTAAAGATATGCTGAAGGTCTGTATAAAAATTTAATTATAGTTTTTCATTATTTATCTTTAATTTAAATATTCATATATAGAACGTATAGTACATAAACTGAACACTATATTAAATATATATATGTGCTCTATATATTTAACATTGCATTATATCCTTTAATGAATATATTCATCATTTTGATAAATAAATAAAAAAAAACATATATTTATTACATAAATAAATAATTACATTATTTAATTAAAAATCTTATGTCACTTACCTGTCTGACTTGTTTGTACTGTTCTTCAAAACTCCAGCCATTATTTTGCTGTGATGAATTAGAAGCCTCACTTGATGTGGATGAATTTGAAGCAGGATTTACTGAATAAGCAACAAAAAAGAAAAAAATATAAATACCAAAATATTGGTTATACGTATATAAAGAAAAATAAAAACTATATTGTATAATTGAAAATACTAAAAATAAAATTCATCAAAATCCAAATAAGTGAACACATAGACTCATAAATAACAAAAACTTCAGACATATATTTATTATCAGTGACTGTGAGAAATACCAATAATGTCAGCATAAAAATTAACTGACTGGAAACAAAAATAATTTGCCTAGTAATCTAATCATAGTCAAATCAATTGTCTTATAAAATCATTGCAAATAGTGGCAACCTTTGTTACCTTGGCAACGTAGTACTAACAGACGAAGGAACAGATAACTGAATCATAGCATTTAATGACAAACCCAACTATACATAAAATAAAAAAAACTTGATTCTTGGATGCTCTCCAAAGAACTTAAGATCTTCAGTATGAAGATCAAAACAATTCTTTCCTTCTTCTTAAAGCCTTATAAGGTTAGCAAATCAATATATTTTTCATATACCTTGATTCTTCATTTTTATGTGCTTTGCCACATCATACCAATCACAAAATCTTTAATATGAAAATTAAAACAATTCTTCAGCTTAAAACCTTATAAGATTACTTAATACACTCACTATAAAATCCATATATTTCTCATATACCTACAACAAATACACAATATCATACAGCCAAATATTACGAACAGTTACAATTACGAATAGCAAACAGTCAATATATCCGCGTAGTAAGCCGTACAGAAGAAAATTAGATAGAAAATAGAAATGTGGAGTCATAGTTATTAGAAAGTATTTCAATATTTTCAGATAGCAAAGCTACCATTAAAACATTGATAGGCACTTAAACCACATCAATTATAACTCAAAACTGTAACGCTACCCACAATGACTTAGCTAGGCGTGTCAGGGTCCAAATCATGTGGGTCTCTGTTTATAGGGATATCTCAGGCAATTGTAGGGCAGACGAGCTTGCCAAGGCAGGCACTCTTCATCCTTATATTCACTTCTGAGATATTAGCATTTCACTTGCTACATTTAAACTGGCAATTAAACGAAAATACCTGAGCATAGTCAAGCTACTTTAACTAAGTCGGAATCTGCTTAGCACTATACTACTGTGGCTGACGGGTCACTGTATAATAGAGAGGCATACCAGAGAACGAGTCTTTCTTATAATGACTTTTGTCGCGATTGTGGCTCTAAGGATGAGAAGGAAACTGAGTTCCATCTCTTGTGTCATCTTTAGCTATCAGAGGATCAATAAAATCAAAAAATAGAATTGTCAGGTTGATATATCTTAACTTAATGGGAGAGTTGCTGCCTTTTTCGGTGTTGGTCGTATACTGATCCTTAAGTCTATGTACGAACCAATGATTTTTCTGTGGTATCACATCAGGCCATTATTTGAGCTCAAGTCGGCTTTCTTGTTACAAAGCGCCACTTCAACATAAGTTAACCTACTAAGGTTAATTTAAAATACATGGAGAATCGATATATCATCTAGACTTATGTATATACTGAATATATACTTCATAAAAGCCATTAAAACTTCGTGTGTATAATGTGCAGTCTTCAAGTTAAATGTGTTACGCAGCTAATAGGTCAATGTTCGATTTTTAAATGTGCCATAAGTACTTGCTTAGAGAGGTCACCGCTTGAAATTAAAGTCCCATACATACTAAATGCCCAAATCTGGTTAATACTGGTAAAATGTTTAATATAAATAATAGAAAAGATTCTACAGTTTTTTGTCACTAGATGGTACTTGTATAACTGGAAACATTATCAAATGTTTAGAGGATTTGGGAGGAAATTATCTTTAATGCACTTCTCCCCTTCCGTCTAATGCAACAATTAATTCGATTCCTGCCATTCGAACACTTTGTTGTGTTTATCATGACAGAGTGTTGGGTCACAAACATCTTTGATGGGTAGTTTTAATACTTCTATCGTATAGCCAGGACTTTGCATGATCTAACTAACATCTATCTAAGTCTATGTAAAATTTTTTTAATGGTAATAAATTATCCCAAGAGTTGCCGCAAATCACTTGGTCAAGTTTTTCACTGATAAACTATAAAAGTTTTTTACATATGGAGCTATTTGGGAACTCGAAACATAGATTTAGATCATAAATAATAATAACGAATATATACTTCATTAAAATTGTTTTTCAAATAACAAATTTTTTATTCAAAAATGGACCCCAGATTCTTTTTATATCATTCAAAACAATTAGATCGAAATCGTTTTTATCGATATACTAAATTGATAATCTTTTTAAGAGTTTTTTTTATATTCTTTAATCTCTAATTTTAATATAAAAATATTTATATAGTTCGATTTAACCTAACAATACTTATGTATGTCAGATATTAAGAATGTTAAGAAATAAATATATAAAATTTAACTTACCATCTCTTGAACTCGGTGCCGTTGGTGACGTAAAGGAAAAACTGTTACCGCCATTGGATAACGCTGAGCTTGTGGCTGAAGTACTTGTGGAATTTTGTGAACCTAGATTACCATTAGACATGCTGTTGCCAGCTGAAGGTGCAATATTTGGTGCGGCGTGACCAAACGAAGCTATTGTGGTGGGTGGTAAAGTAAATGCGGTGTTAATAGGTGTTGGTAAAACATTTGCACCAAAAGCAGCAGCATGGGCTGCATAATCTTGTTCCTAAAATTATGATAAAAATATGGTAAGATATGTGGTAAAGTCAATTACTATATTATGTATTTTATATTATTACAAATATTCTAATAAATTTATAATAAATAAATAAAAAAAATAATATTTTTACCATAAGTCCAACTTTCATATCACGCACTTGCATTTTCAATTTTTCTAACACATCATTGTGTTGTAAATTGGGTATACCATGTAAGCCACCAATGCCCATAAAATTTCCCAAAGCGTTCAATGGATTAGTTGTAAATTGATGATGATGACTAAAATATTTTAAAATTTTTGTGCTCTAGACTGTGCTCAAATTGTTTAATGTTAATGTACATATACCTTAATTGCATTTCAGCTTGAGATTCTGGACTACGACCAATACCAATTCCTCCAATACCACCACTACCACCACCGCTAAAACTCATATCACCACCGTTACTTGTTATAGTATGATTTAAACGTGCTGTACGATTGACATGATCCCCTTCAATAGAATCACATTCACGCATTTCATCATCGGAATGATCTTCATGTGACTAAAAAGAACAAACGCATAGAGAAGAAATGCATTAAATTTACAAAAAAAAAAAAAAAAAAAATTAAAAGTGAAAAATAACAACAAATATAGTTAAAATTAATTGCAACATTTGCTGCAACAAGCAAACACATTACGACAAAAATCAATTCAAAACTTTTACGATGCAGCATGCGCCACAAAATCAGAAGAAGAAAAAAGAAATATCGATCGATGATGTTGTCATGAAATCAACCATGAGAGTACGCCTGTGACAATCAGGCAATCAGGCAATCAGGGACGTTAACGTATGCGGTTTGGTCCGTACACTCACAGCTCTGCCTGCGACCAACACATCACATGCTGCGTGGCCACGATCACCACAAATATTTCAACTCTTATAACAATGAATTAAAACGTGATTTTTGCAAAAATTGCCAGCAATTACGTATCGGACGCAATATACTTCTGTCTGTGCACTCCTAGAGCTTATGAGTTATGTCCAATAATTTGCTATAAAATATCGAACGATTGATACGCGACATGTAAATTATTAACGTTCCTTTAAAGAAAAATACTAAAACAAGTAGAAATAGAGTTTTTCCAATTGCAATGGGAACAAAATTAAATAAAAATCCACATTAAATAAGTATCGTATAGGCGTAATAAATAGGGATTAGAGTTCTCAGCATTTTACGAGGGTAACGAACTCAAAAATCGAAATAAATGCATTTATTTACTTAAACTGAATAAACTATATTTATTACAGCAAAATATATTTTAAACTTATAAAAAAATTTTAAATAAACCACACTTTTAATTATAGTCGGTAAATCGATGTATAACCAACAAGCCCCAAAAATGAATATATTCTAACCATGACTCATCGCATAAACTGCTACAACAACCCAATCAGTGACTAATTCAACGCAATCAAAAACAGCGACTACAATATAATGAAGCTACACCTACCCAAAAACATATTAAATAAAATTTATATATAGATCTTAACATCTATATAAGCAGAGAGCGAAGGACCCAGTAATCCAGTTCCTAATTCTTAGGTAACTTTAAAACTAATTTTAATGTTAACTCACAAATAAATAAATAAATAATTATATTCAGTAAAAGAAACTACTGAGGAATCCTACCGACTACAGATCTTGTCTTCAGGAAAAAATGAGTATTACTCTAGGATGCAGGGTTTAAACGGGGCGGCAATTTTTAGTTGTTTACTAAATGAATTTGGTTCTGTATAGTTTCTACAGTCTTCAATTGTTGAGCATACCGTATGTTTTAAAACGGCCAGGTTGTAATTTTACAACCTTTACGGATTAAAAATATATATTACGGTATATATTATATTATAGCGACTTATAAGTAATAAATAAATACTTATCATTTCAAGGAATTCAGTTAGTTTCATGTTATATATTCATATTGTATAGAATTTAGATTTCAGTTAATAATTTCAGTTCATTATTATTTAATACATACAAACAATAATACTATCCACTAAAACCTTCATAACTTAAAAGAATACTAGCATAATTTATCGGTTAATATGCGTCCTAACTTATCTTATTTTTAAAAAATTTGATTGCAGTCAAAGAAATCCAAAAGATAATAAGACTAAACCTATAAAATTCAGACATAAAAGGATGTCTGGGTATTTAAGGGAGCGATAAACGATATGATAACCTAATGTTAACGAGGACGCTAAATGTCTTAATATCATTAACTGAAAAACATGTTTCTTAGATCGAAAAAAATACAGACAGGTGATAAAAGAAAACCAGGTTCACATTGGACGGTGAAACCAAATTATTAACTTTATCATTAAATTATGATAATATATGCGTTTGATAGGTCAAACACAAATTTTATCCGATAAGAACCAGACATCCAGAGAGACCAATAGCAATATGAAAAGACATCCAGGGAGACCAAAGGTAATATAAAAGACGGTATATATTAGCACGTCAGAATTTTTAACAAACTATTTTGTACTAACTGTAAGACATTATCGCCAATTCGAACGAAATAAGACCAAGTTGTAAATGAAGCCTAAGTTACTAGAGGACTTTAATGATAAAGAAATTATTAAAAACACATGAAGCTTTAATGAAGAAAACGAAGATACGAAAGAACATTTATAACGAACTTTTATTTAAATAAGATAAAATAGAAAAACAATTTTATATTTCCATCTAAAATCAGAATGGGAATCTCTTACAACACTCACTCTATAAACTGTAATCACCAATAAGAAAAGGAAACTATTATCCAATTTCTCTATGAATATCTTGCTCTTTGAAAGAAGAGATTAGCCACTATTTTTACCAATAGTTCTTCAATAAACTCAGAGAACTAGGGGATGTTAATCTTACCGTCCTATAAAAGAGAGATATTTTGTCAAGATCTTTTGTATTGAATTTATATGTATGATTGGTTGGTTGAATACAGTGACAGGCCATCAAATAAGTTTCCATGTAACTCAATTAGCAATTTTTTACCGTTTTGCTACCAAATTCCTCGCACGACCCCCTAAGATATAGACAAAATCCATTCCGTTGAATGTAGATCATTTCATAGGTCTTTCGGCTTTACCGTTGAACAGTCTGATACATTGTCAAAGACTGTTCTGATAAGTTGTCAAAATGTTTAATGGTTTCTTTTCTCACTGGTTACAACAATTTCTCCAGTGAGAATTAGGAGAAATAGTCTGCTTCTTTGCGTTAGAAGCTATATGAGTAATTAATAACTTTATTTAACTCTCTCAACTGGATGTATCATATAAGTATCATATAAGTTTCACAAATAATTTAGCGAATATTTGTGAAACGTAGTAAATTCTATTGTTTATCATTTTCAGGTACCATACGCTCTCAGAATAAGAGGAGATATATTGTCAAGGCCTTTTGTATTTAAGAGTTATTTTATATACAACAGTTATTATTTGTACAATAGACACTCGGTTTAACAAATAACCAATATAACGAACCCTCTATTATTATTATTATTAAAGTTATTGACGTGAAATCGTCCAATAGACGGTAATGCGACCAGAAGAGTTCTATTATACCAATTTCACCATTGATTAAACAAGGCCCTTTAAAGTTTTCAGAACAAAGTGCAGAACTAAATCTAGAGAAGAGCTCTTAATCTATTCTGGTAACAGAAATAACGAACCGTCTAAAAAAGACGAATATTTGATAGTTCTTAAATATGATAGATAAAACACCCTATAAATAAGGAACAATCAAATTCTGGTAAATAACAATCACACTGAAAATGTTACAATATTTATCTGCTATTCGTTTAACCAGGAGCCTAGTATACTTCCTTTTCTAGTATGTCTACGTCGTGTGCTTCCTTTTAAAACCAATTTGCAAATACCATAAATAGTAATGAAATACATAAATTGTGTACAGTATTTAATTTTAAGAAATTTTTACCTATATCATTATTTAATTATATATATTTTATAAAAAAAAAAGCAGATCTATTTATGTGAGTATAAATAGTTAAGAAATATAAGACAAGTCTTATTGGTCCGTTTGGTTGGCAAAAAAAAAAATAAGTTTCCACAAAGTCTGGCATCAATTAAAAGTTTTATATTTTTCAAGTGGTAAAAATGAAGCGCAACTGTGTCTATTACGAATCGGGAATTTTCAATTTAAACACAAAAGCTGCATTAAAGCAGACATTAATGCAACATTTATCGCCGTCTTCAATGCATTTCCAGGAATACTTTGAAGTTGGCGCAAGCGTACTCTCATTACAAATCAGTGGATGTGTATGATTGCGAACAGCATTGATACGATAGGTGCGGTGCAGTCGATGATTCCGTGGACATTGTGCAGAACATACATAAATGCCGCAGCGATAGCAAGAGCCGGTACTGATATCCAGCAATGTGAGAGCGCTACTTTGTTCGCACACAGTTAAAACCGAGAAACCGAGTCCAGTTTTTTTTTTTTTTGTTTTACTTTTCTTTTTTGCCGCTTGGTTACTGTTGCTCTTCTTATTGTTATTATTGTTGTTGTTGTTATTGTTGTTGTTGTGTCGTATGAAAGAAGAAACATTTTGCATGGTCACGGATGCTACGCCAGCCGTGAATTAACTTGGCAAAGGTTTACAGATCTAAAAGTGCTTTAGTGGAGACATAAAATGGTACTAAAATAGTGCTAGTGCAGCAAGTAAGCGAACAAGCAGGCAGGCAGGCAGGCAGGCAGGCAGGCAAGCAAGCAATTGCTAATGAAAATGTCAAATCAACTGAGTTAGTTGGAGAGCAAAATATGGCCTAAACATATAGTCATATAACAATACGACTATATATATGAGTAAAATAATGAGAAGACAACAAAACAAAACATTTATGATATTGTAATATTTTTTTAAATTAAATATATTTAATATGCAGGCTCATGCCTTGCATTTTATTTACTGTGCGTTAATGTACGTGCAGGTAATTAGTTTTTTATTACACTTAAAATATACTACTTAGGCTTACGATTATGTATGCGTATATGCGTAAGTATGTAGGTACGTAAATATCTATGATATGTATATAAAAGTATAATGTGGCACATATTACAATTATTTAGAAAACACAACATATTATGTAGATTAAATATAAAAAAAAACAATAAAAATGGATAAGCAAAAAAAGATATTTGGAAAAAACCCATAATTACTGTATACCGATTTCTATATAAATTTAGATATTTTTAATGTAAAAAAGCAATTACGATAAATCAATGTAGGTATGAAATAATTTTTATACAAAATAGTAAAGTTTGCATATTATAGTATATATGTTAAATGAAATGAAGAATAGAATAAAATAATTTTATCACACAACTATAAAGACATATGTATACATATATATATATATATATCTAGTAATAGTAGGTCTCAGTCCCCGCAGTTTTATATATGTATATGTGTACTGACAATTTACGATATTTAATTTAATTGTGCAGGTAGGAAAATGGCTGAAATGAAGCGATATCAATA